AGGGAGGGGTGAAAGGTCGCGGGTCCCCAGCAACACGGCTCAGGCAAACGTAAGCGGCTTGTCGCGGAAACTAAGGGGTCCTAGAAACACGCTAGGCTGGAAGGCGGGAAGTGAGATTACTGACAGCCTTGCTAGCCAATGAAATGGAAATGTGAGAATGGCTCTTCAGGCCCCTTCCCAATCAGGAAACTTGAGTTTGAGAGGGAGTGAAGGGGCGGGGTGGGATCTTAGTCTAGCTGGGACTGGAGCGTTGACAATTTTGGCTAGTCTGAGAAGGGCGTTCGAGTGACCGTTGACAGTGGATGGGACGGCGTCAAAGCTGAGGGGAGAACGTTAAGTGACTGCTAACGGGACTTCTAAATAGGTTTTCTTGGGTTTGTTTTCTTTTTAAAGAGTTAGGTTAAAGACATTAGTTGTATCCCATTCATTGGCGCTTTTCTCCGAGGTGATTTCATCAAGAGAGTATTAATCGCGCCGTGTAGCAGCGTTAGGGCACCTCGAGTGTCACTCGCCGCATTGAAAACCTTTCGGGAACAAAGATATAAATAAAGTTAGGTATGGTCTTTAGTCTAAGAGGCGCTCATAGGCAAACTAGAGGCAGGCAACAGCTGAGTGCCTACAAAAAAACGAAATCTTGAACGAAATACGAATATAGGAAATAGAATGCATTGCAACGTGCGCAGTTTATGATTATACTGATCTTGGATATAGACTAAACCTGAGTCTCAAACTTAAAACACTGTTGTCGCCGAAATAGACTGTCTGAAGAGACTCAGTTTATAGAGGAGTAAATGGACTTAAGGAAGTATTTTAGCTCAAAGTCATCCATCAGATTAGGTTAATTAAATCAGTGTTTTAGAGAGCAGGAAGAGCGGGGAAAGCATGGGTTTGTAGTCCAAAAATTTTAGTTTTGCCATCGCCAGTATATTTTAAAAGTCTTATCGGCAAATTCCTTAACATGTTGCTTCTCGTGTGTCAAGCAATCCACTTTACATGTAATGTTTTTACCTATAGTATATCATGTAGTTTTACTCTCCCCATTTTATGAGGCAGTTTAGTTTTAAAGATAGTAATAATGTACTCAAAGTCACAGAGATATAAACATTGTAGTAATAATTCAAACTCTGGTCTTCCTGAATTCAAAGTCTGTTCTCTTATTGTTGCAGTAAGCTAGATCTTCAAGTTCGCTCCACTTAAAGATTGCAGCTGTAGCTTCCACAATTCGTATGACTCAAATAAGAATACGTAATGTATTGATAATGATAATGTATGGTAAGATTTAAAAATGTATGGTAAAAATTTTACATCTTAAATACATCCACTAGATTTCTAGAATAAACATGTTCCTTCCCTATTCACTCCCCCTACCCTTTTCAACCTAAAAGGTGACTTTATTGTTAAACTGGCATAAGGGAGGGTTTTACTGTAATTCTATGGTACTCTCATTCGGAATACCTGCATATCTAAAGCCATAACCAAAGAGAATACAACAAAATTTAATTTCTGATGAGAAAGGAATGGAAAAGAATTGTAATCCTATCCATAGAATCCTTTATTAAAAGGAGCATTTAAGAAATTCCTGTTGTTGTTTTAAAGTAAAGAAAGATGACAATCTGCTGAATGAGGAAGAGAATAACATTTAGTTTGGGAATAAAGGCTTATCTGGAGGATGAAAAAAAAACACGTTTGCTTCAAGTTAGGGGAAAAGATAGGTTGGGAGTAGAAAGAAGGGAGAACAGGTAAATTAGTGCATAATAGAACTAAATACTTTGAACTAAATACTTATCTGTTGTACTATGTAATAAGAAATCACTATATATATATATATATATAGCTTTCATAACAAAAGTAGTATTTATACACCGAATTAAATTTCTCAAAAAAATAGTGATGAATGGGGGGTGGGAAGCAAAAACCCATGGTTTAGAGTAAGTATGTGGCCATCAAGAAAGGAAAGGCTGATACAGATATTATACAATCTAAGTGTCCTGTGAATTGTAAAGAAAGGTGTAAGAACTTTTAAATTAAAAAAATGAGAAAAGAGCTGGAATTTGGTACTAAATTTTTAAGACAATAAAAGATAGGGACAAAAACAAATATAGTTCAAACCTGGCCAAAGTATTCAGCAGAATGTAGTTTTGAATTGGGTTAAGACTTACACAGAAAGTTTAATGTTAATAAATTTCTAAAAATAAAACATGCTAAAAGAGTTTATAAAATATTTCTCATTGACATATGAAAGGTAAATTGTAAGTGATCCTTCTAAGTAAAACTGTCTTGTAGACATAAGCTTACTGATACTCATGACATTGTATTGGCATTTTTTGACCTCTGATTTTCTTCTTTTAGAATTAGTATTTAAGTGGTACCCAACTTTCCATGCAGTACAGATACAGAAGATATGATTTTTAAAGTAGAGAGTATGCTTATTAGTAACATAGCTATGATATGTCAGGAATCTATTCTATTAGACTCTTCTAAGACCTGGTCAGAATTACAAGGGTCAGTCATCTATAAGCTGATATAGTCAAAGTTATCAGGGAATACATCCTAATTAATTTCCAATCCTTAGTATATGTTGCTATTTTTAAAAAAATTACACTTGTCCTTTTCTAAACTGTGTTTATATCTGCCATGTTTATTAAGCAGACATAAAGATTTCATTGTCTTATCATTTTTACCAGTAAGTAAAACTGAATGAGAAAATATAGCAACTCAGTTTATTAATATTTACTATGTTGTATGCCTCATATGCTATAAATAAACTGTTGGAATGATGAACTTTTTATAAAATATAATAGAAGCATTTGGTCTTCTAATTCTCTGAAGAGACATTTTATTTTTTTTTAATTAACCAAGCACTTGGTACTGGAAATTTGATATTTTTTGACACCTTAAGATGATAGAATCTGTGTGCTTCTTTTGTTGTTAATTAGTTGATGAGTTATGAATACAAGTATCACAGAAAATATTAATCTGAAGAACAAACTCTAATTTTATTGGCTTCCAGTGGAGGTTCTTTTCTTTCCTAAATGTTTAGGCTGAGTAATATGGACATAAACTAACCTTAGTAATAATGATTAACTTTCTAGTGAAAATACAGATGATGGATACCCAAAAATATTTTCTGAAATTCATTTGTCTCTATGTTCCTGCCCTTGCTACATGCAACCTGTTACAAGCTTACATCTTCTTTTACTTAATTGTTGCTTCAGCTTATGTTTTGGAAAAATAGTTTTTGTGTTTGTGTTTTAGCAGAAGCAGATCCTGAGTTCCTGAGTTAAGGATTCAAGAGCAAGTAATTTTATTTTGGAAGTGATTTCAGAAAACACTGTAGGAGCTTGGGGAAGAGACAGGGAATCAAAGGAAGGTAATGAAGGCTGAATTACCAAACAAGTTTTCACTGTGAATAAATAAGAGTGTTCTCACTGGTATTTCCTCATCCATTTAAAATTCATCTCAGAACTAATCCATCCTAAGTAAGAAGAAAGTAAGATATAGATATAGAAGATATAGAGAAACACACACACACACACACCAGCTCCCTTCAGTCACTGGTGGTAGGTTGGTCATACTTGGAAATGCTGGGGAATTAACACCCACTGTGAAACATCCTCTAATATGGAAAATGAGACTAGGAAATTTTGAAATGGTAGGACAAGGAGATATGTGTGGGGCAGTAACAATTTGTTATAAGTATCAACATAAATTTACGAAACAGTAAAATAAGAAACCTACAAATTATTGCAAAGTATTAAGACAATCAAGTAAGTATAGAGGGAATTGGAAAACTTAAAGTACAGAAAAAAAAAGATTTTGTAATTTTCACACTCCCAATATAATCAAGCATTGATCTAAAAAACCTGACTTTGTTTTTTTATGTTTGTAAAAATCACACTTTCAGTCTGATGTCACTCATGACAAAACAATGTATATATTCTGATTATTTTCTTCAATCAATGCAGCACAAAGAATATAAGAGGAAATATATACCAAATGAGTATATTACCTACCTAATTATATAACAA